TTGGCTGGCATTTTCTTTCCTGGATGGTGGGACCACCTGCAGGCTCTGTATCTTTCCCGGACCTCTGACCGCTAAACCCTAAACCCTTGACCCAGAACCCTAAAAACCTTATAAGGCCACCTAGAAGAGGCCTAGAGATTCCTCAAAAAACCCCCCGATGTCTAAGCACATGCTATGAGCCAAACGGTGCAGGTTCCTCAGCCTGTGATGTTCGCCATGGTCTGAGTAGTCAGTGACCAATAGCTTGTGTGGGGTTTAGGTAAAGACCGACATATTCTGCACGATGAGGCGGAGCTTGGCTTTATGGCTGAAGCCATAACTGGGTTCAGTAGACCTTCTATCGAATACAGATCTGCGAATTCCCAGAGGGTCCCTCTTAAGAAAGCCATCGAGGTAGGGCAGGGCTTGGCATGATGCGGGATGGATACTTCTCGTCACTGGTCACCCTCAACCAGCCTAAGGCAACCAAAGTCCGCAAGCATCCCAAGGCAAAGTAGGGAAGTGAGTCCTAGTGCTCCATCTGTGACACCCTGAATTAGAACCGTTAACTTTAAGCTTTGAAGGCTATTGTTGGGTGCCGGATGCTCGGAATCTAAGAAGCTGGAGGCTGTCTCTTAGCTTGACCGTTCTTTGACAGTGGCATATCGACGCAACTCTGCAACCGTTGATGAGAGCCGATTAGAGGGTTTCCCTTCTTCAGGATGTCTGCCAGGGTCCCTTACAAGAAGCTTCGAACGCGTGTGTGCTTCTTGAGCATGTCAATCGCCGTCGGGCCTGCTTGCCGTGCTCACTCTCCCTCTGCAGCTCCTGCAAGGGGTGACGCCGAAACATCTTGTTGGGTGCTCGGTCTAACGTGGTATCTGACTCTAACTGTCGACTGCTGAATCGGGCAGCCTCCAGCTCTTTTTGAAGAGCTAAGCGGCGGGCTCGGTCAGCCTCCATAAGGCTCAAAATTACGGTTGTGACACGTGAAGCACGAGTGGAACTGAACTACTGATTCCAAAAGGGATTCTTCTGCATGTTTCTTCTATGGCCGCTGTTCGTCTATTGAACTGTCATGCACTTTAAGCTTTGTGCTTTACAAGGCGTTGCGGTGACAGGTTGGGTAAGGGAAAGCATACTTTGCTTTTAGCCAACATTCTTCGGGACTTGAAAGGAACAGCACTGCTCAGGTTCAGGTACGATTTTTGAGCTGAAGTATGGGATATCGTGTGATACTCGGACGTGTAACGCTATGTCGTCAAGGCTCAAGGTTCAGGGCCAGAAGTTCGAGGAGGTAGGCTTCGTTCGGCAATGTGATTGCTTTGGAGGGCATGAGGGGGACTTCTTCCAGTGTACCTGCTTTCATACCTGCAACTTTGCCTACTACGGCTTCCGAAGCTTAAACCTGGGACACTCAAATCTCAAAGTCTCGGGCGCTACCGCAAAATTTGACTTCAGGCGCGAGAAAACCGCCCTGGGTCATATGGGAGTTTCAACCGATGTTGGCAAACTGGAAACGTGCCTGCGCGATGAACAAAGCTATTAGCTAAATCTGCTTCTCTCTCTCTCTCTCTCCCCTTGTGTTTGAGATCTACAAGTTTGTAGAGGGGACATCTAGCCACACGTGTTGCCACTATGATCGTCGTCTAAGTGTGATCTATCTAGCTACCGTCGTGAGTTTGCCTGTGCCATTGGTGGAACCCAGACGGCTACTACTAGCATCACCACGGTTCTCATGAAATGAACACTTGCAAACAGTTGGCTCAAGGCTTGGGTGCGCGGAAGGACATGGAGTCAAGGGGTTCGACTAGTTGTTCCTGGAAGTTTGGGCTTGGGGCTCTCGATCGAACGACTTCGAGCTGGAGCAGGTTTGAGCCTGGGCTGATTGGTAGGGGCTCTAAAGGTCTCTGTGGCTTCGATGCTGCCGGCAAATGGGTCCCTCAGACCGGAAGCGTTTTCAAGTGCTGTATCCGGGGCTAGTATGCCGTATTATGACAAGTGTTGACATCGGGGCGAGACCAATTAGTCACTAATAATACTATTTCCTACCAGTCGCTATTTCGTTGTAGCATAACGATAGATAACGTACCCTGACGCCCCAGTCGAATCCGTCAATTGTTCAAGCCCCTATGACCCTATGGCAAGCAGAAGTAGAATTAGTAGTGCTATTCACTGGGGCTTCCGCATTGGACCCCCGATAATACGATACTCTACCACGCAAACCCTAGTCTTACAGACTTGAGCTCTTCTTGGCCCTAAACCCTAAACCCTAAACCCCAAAAAGCCTAAACCCCAAACCCCAAAAAGCCCCAAACCCTAAACCCAAAACTCCCTAAACCCTAAACCCCAAAAGCCCCTAAACTCTAAATCCCAAACTCCCTAAACCCTCAACCCAAAAAGCCCCCAAACCCTAAACCCAAAAAGCCCCAAACCCTAAACCCAAAACTCCCTAAACCCTAATCCCAAACTCCCTAAACCCTCAACCCAAAAAACCCTAAACCCTAAACCCTAAACCCCAAACCCCCAAAAACCCAAACCCACGTGGCCTCAAAGCTGTGGGACTGGGCGTCGTACTGCTGCGCCAAGCTGGGCGGCCTCAGGCTCTGCAGAGGGCTCTCTGAGTTCAGTTTGGGGTTTGGGGCTTGGGGTTTTTGGGGTTTGGGGTTTTTGGGGCTTGGGGCTTGGGGTTTGGGGGTTTGGGGGTTTGGGGTTTAGGGTTTTTTGGGTTTAGGGTTTGGGGTTTGGGGTTTAGGGAGTCTTTAAGGGGCTTCAGGCTTCAGGGTTTGGGGTGTAGTGTAGGATGTTTTTTTTGAGGCCTTAGGCTCAAGGTTTCGTCCAGAACTTCTGCTGAGAAGCATGCCGAAAATGAAGCAAAGTGGGGTTTGCTGCAGTTTCGGGTTGAAGTAGCCTTCGCACTAGCTTTGGGGTAGTTGGAGTTTTAAGGAGAGTAAGAGCCAGTGCTGGGATGATGATGTAAAGGGCTGAGTTACTTCAATAGTCAAGCCTGCTCCACCCTTCATGGCGTTGTTTGCTACAGCTGCAAAACCACATGGGGGTTTCTGAAAATAGGGGACCCTAATATAGTACCCTAAATAGTAGGATCCTTATTATAAGGACCCCAAAATAAGGTACCCTCAATTTTCGGAAACTCCCACATTTCGCTGACACCCCTTCAGCCCCTAGGCCGGCACTCCGAACCCTGGATCTCGGATGCCCTCGAGTCCCTCTACGCTTCGACATGCCAATCGGAACTGCTGAGGTGGGGGCTGGGCCTTCCGTTTAGTTACAGGAAACTACAGGTGAGGAGTTTAGGGTATATGGGGCTTCTATAAGGTACATAGACCTTCCATAAGGCTCCTATAAGGGTAACTACCCACCTGAAAATGTCCTAGATTAAGCGTGCAGGTCTTACGGCAGCGGCATGTTGCAGCAGTGAAGGTCCAGGATTTGGTGCAGGCTGCTTAGGCCGTTTCAAGTCTTAGGATTTGTATCTTCCTGCAGGCATTTGTACAAGCAAAAAGAGCTATACCGCAGAACCCTGACGACTTGCTCAGCATGCTACACCAAACCTTGATAGGAATGAGAGTTACAGTTAAACCCACCAGAAAGCATACCTGCCAAGCCTTACGAACCACACCTTATACACACCCTGAAGTCTTTATCGCAACATCTCAAAAACGAAACCCTTCATCACGAGAACGGAAAGGACGAGCGGCAACGGTCCGGGCATCTCATCGCGCGGAGCTGCCATCGCGCAGCTCTGATGAATATCGGATTTGGTCTGCTTGATAATGGCTGCCAAGTCCGCCTCAACAGCATTTTTAATTCTGGTGAAGCTTGCCCGGATGTTGCCAGCAGGTGACAGCTATGAGCCTTGCTCAAAAAAGGGCTTTTTTGTGTAGTGGCCACTGGAATGCTACACTTCGCTTAGCCGTCAGATGACAGTCAGGAGATTCACACGACGTCGAAGCGACATACAAGCTTGCCCAATTCCTAGCCTATTCAATCCCAAGCTATTCCCACCCTTAAGTTGTGCGATTCTACGGCCCAAGCTTTGGATCCCGAATCATTCTCTGCCACCCCCGACCAAACTTCCAGATAGAAAAACAATATCAGAAAGTCTACACCCATGCAGAAGACATCCCAAACGAAACCATTCGCCCACAACATGCAAGCTCAATGCGATTTTCCCCGCGATGGTTGCGAAAGGATTCCCCAGCAAGGGCGCGCGTTTTCGAAAAAGCAGCCGCTCAGGTTCATCTTCCCAGTGTGCTGTCTTAGTCAAAGTCAAACCCTAAACCTTAAACCCCTAAACCCTAAACCCTAAACTGTTGTCTCAGTCCATGGGGGGGGTCGAGGTTTACAGCAAGGTGCGGAGATGGGAGTTTCGTTGAAACTTTTCAAACCGAGCGCCCTCACCGATTGGGTAAACCTTGCAGATGGGTCCCCGAATCTGTGATTGAGTCATCCCTCTTCTGAGGATACACACAGGCACGCTACTCGCGGCACAGAGCAATGCAATCAAACATTACATAAAAGTCAAATCTGAGATCTCTCGCTCCAGGGAGAAGATAACTCTAACTTTGCCAAGTAAAGTGTTCGGGGCTTAGAATAACTTTATTGTCCCGGGGTTTAGAATAACCTTATTGTCCCAAATCTCGAACCTGTTGAGAAGCCTTGACAGCCAAACCCACTAACTTGTCAAAGCCTCGAAGCCCCAAGCGTCTATACCCTGTGGCACTGTGAACAACGACCAGATACTACTGTGCTGCGAAGTGCGAGCAAGATGGTGTAGCATACTTCTGCCCCACTCGACGGGTCGCGGGCGTTGAGCGCGAAATGCGAAAGTTAGATGGGTATTACGGGCTGATGGTCCATGCCGTGTAGCGTCCTGAGATTTAGGTGTAAGATGGAGGGTTCGGGCTTCCGAGCTTTATCACGGCATTCGATGCTCAGGGAAAGGCTCCAAACTAGGTGAAGACACAGCGGAAACATGCTGAAACGTCTCGATCCGCCGGAAGGTTTCGGGCAAGGATTGGAGAGTGAAGCGCTTGGGGCAGCCTCTGCTTGTCTATTCCTGCCACAGCTACCGCCGCCACCAGCACCAGTGGAGTTGAGGGATTTGGGTTTGGGTCAAGTCGATTGAGGTGCGAAGTATGCCAAAAGGACATCCCGCCCAAATGCAGGTGTTGAGGCACCAAGCAGCAAGGCCAAAACGCTTGACTTCGGCTTGAACACCTTAAATCGTAAATCTGCTAACTCCGATACTGTATCTTCCCGATCTGCCAGGGCATTCCGACACCTGTAAACTGAAAAGGGTTTAACACTTAAAGTGCTCTTTAACCAAATGTCGTTGCGAGATTTAAGGCGTCATTTTTGCTAGTCATGAAGACCTCCAAACAAAACACAGGATTTTCGGATGCGGTGCCGTTCACGGGTTCCAATGTGCTTGGACTCGCGGCTCTGGGGCTTTGGACCCTGGAAGCGGTGCTACTGTCTTGTTGAGATGGAGGGTTTGGGGCTTTAGGTTTCAACTGCGCGGTTTGCTGGCTACATGCCTGGTGCTCAACAGGAGTACATCAGATTGCGAGACTCAATCTGTCCTCAATGGTCTCTATATGGTAGCGAACAGCAGCTTTTGGCGAAGGACATCGCACACATGCTGGCGGAATTCTTCAGACTCCCTGAACTCACTATCCTTGACCGCGACAGCTTTACACGACAGGGCATTCCCACTTCAACGAAACCGATAACATCCAACATTAACGTGATGCAGCAAAGTGGAATCTAACTGAGTAGCACAAGTCTTCCAGAACCAATTCGGCTCTTGCTAATTACTTACGCAATCGTGTCTGGGGCATCTCCAAATGTAGCGGCCTCTCATGTATGTGTCGAAGAAGTTCTCGTCATGAGGACCGCTACAGCAACATGATGATGACAGAGCCATTCCATGGTAGCTGTCTGTCGTATAGCATATGAGCAACCAAGAGAAACACAAGACCGACCATGTTACTAGTAATCATGGTAGGTCCAATCTACTTGTCTGCCCAACTAAGATAACCCCCACAAGGGCCCCTGCAAGTCTACGTGTAACCCCCTGATCCTTTCAGGAAACTCCCAGAACCCATAATCACCCTCAGACCGATCGTCCTCAAAGCAGCCTTGATAGAACCCTGTGATGTATTCAAAAGACAAGCCTTCCGAAGCTGCCGTCCACCCCTCACGCCGATCACTTCTTGGCCCTGCAGGAGCAGTCTAGGGCTTTCCCCTATGGGTTCCATGGGCGTGAATTTCAACCCCAGAGTCAGGACATTTAGGACCGAAGAACTCGTGGGCTTCGGAAGCATGTCTGATCTATCAACCCCGAGTTGTATACCCAAGCTATAGCTTCAGTCGACTTGAGCACCCTCGTGTTCCCGAAACAATCGAGGAACGTGTGCAGCGTTCTTGACTGTGGCTGCAAGCTTCACAAGAAGATGTGGGTTGGGCCCTCAACACATTCAGCTCTCCTTTCGACGTGGCTTCGGTTGTCCTAACCAGAAACATCGAACAGGCTGCGTTGAAGAGCCATCATACAACTCACTTCAAGCACAGCTCACCACTTCACAAAATGGCTTTAAGCTTGGCCCACCAGGACTTGCTGTGGCACGCTTGTTTCAGGAAACGGTTCGCTTTCTTCATCCAGAAACTGCAAGGGCTGCCATTGTTGCCATTAGAGCCAGGGCTGGGACGCAGGATGAAGGTCATAGGCTTGGTAGGCTTGGGGCGGAGGGCTGAGGGGGTTGAAGGTTCCAGGATTGTTGGTAATGGCTAGGGATTCAGGGGTTGCAAAGTTCAAGTGGGATCCGGGGCCTGAGAATGTACTCTCCGGGGCTCAGAAGAAAACATTCCAAGATCCCAGATAACCCGTTCCTGAATGGCCACTGGAAGCTTTGACTTCAATCATGGGTTATGTGAGATATGGGAATACTAGGTAGAGTCAAAAAGTCAAAAGAGCTTCCAAGTCGTCCCCTGGGGCCTTTTCTTCGGCTGGGGCTCCTCGGGGACTGCGGCGGCTTGTTGCAGAAGTGCCTCTGCCCATAGGGGCTGGCTGAGGGACTCACGGCATGAGGGTTCCATGGAACGACTCCGAAAAAGAGCGAATCCAATTCCCAGCACTCTGACGGCTAAGGGCTCACGGAATTCAGGGCACCTTGCCTGCATCGAGGTTTGGTTCTGAATTCTTTCAGCTTTAGAACTGGGATTTTTCACGCGCTCTTGGAGAAACACTAAACCGTGGTGACAGGTTCTGGGGCATGACGAGGGCTGCCTAAAAGCACGGTTGAGGTGCAGGGCTTTCGTATTTAAGCTTGGATTTCGGAACGTTCGCGTCGATTCGTCAATTTTTGGGCTTTAGGATTCTGGGCCTTGGCCTTCTGACCCTAAGCCCCAACTGCCAAGCGCCTGCATCAGCTTCGGATACTTCATGATCTGCGGGCCTCGAACGGAAAGAGCGACAGCAGGAATTCCGTCTCTGGCTTCAGCGACCACAGCGTGAAAGCTTCTGCAACCCTAAAGAACCAAACGGTTAGAAATGCAGCTCGCAACGCACATCCGAAACGCTGGACCCAAGGAACTGTTTCAAGGATGTCAACCGTGAAAGCCCGAACCAGAAACCCAGCCTCAAGCTTATCATGGTTCGGGCAGCCTTACCAGGTGGGTGGTTGTTAAAACTATGGTCCCTTTTTGGGTCCTTATTATAATACGGCACCTATTAGGGTACCCCAAAAGGGACCATCATTTTGACAACTACCCAGGTAAATCTGTGGGGTTCAGGATTTGGACGCCGATGACCTCACGGTCAGAATGTTTCAGCAGACAACGCAAAGCGAGAGCTTGCATCTCCAGGAATGAAGCTAACCGATGCTAGGGACCGGGGTCTATGGTTTATGGCTGTGCCTCATCTCAGCCTAAGACTTGAAGTGTAGGCCCGAAACCCGTAGCCGTAGCCCACTTCCGAAGCTTTAAGCGCCCGAGAGGCCCAACAGAAGCTCCGAGCTCAAACACCGAAGCATCAACGAATACCTGCCAAACCCAGCCTGAAGAAAAAAATGGCCAAGAACCAACACAGGGGCGCGAAGATGGTGAAGGCGATTATGCCTTGAGCTCAAGAGATCCGAGCTCATGACTGTTGGCGACCTCTGCTAGAGCCTTCTTGTTCCTGGCCAGGGAGGGGAAAGTTTCAAGATCAGCTCTGGTCCAAGAGAGCGTGAGCTTCTTCAAGAAGATTCCTCGCGTTGTACGAACAAGCCTGGGTCTTAATCTTTACCTTCCTGTCTCTGTGTCACCTCTCAATTCAATCTCAGTCTGAAACATCAAAGATGCAGACCCTAAGAGGTATGAAGTAGGGCGTCGGGAGTCCACTCCCCCCGAAGTCCTGGGCCTTAGACCCGGAGCCCCGTGCGTCAGCAAGTGCAGTGTCGGCTTTCGCCACTCCCCCGCGCAGCTAACTACATCGATCTACAAAAAAAGGGGTCATAAACCAAAGCTTCACTCGGTTGCCCACAAGCCTACACATCTACAGGGCGACTATCACAGACGTCGCTCATTGATCCACCGATCACGGATCCTCCCCAAAGGAGATCGCCAAAAAACTGACGGAGGTCGTCCCTAGCCCTAACCCATGATCCCAACTCCGCAAGCCTCAATGCTGAACCACCAAGCCCCCCCAATCAAGTTTGTCAGAGTTCGAGGTAGGGTTGACGAAGGCTTTCGGTGGCATCTTCTGCTTCGGAACCAAGGGCTCAGGGCCTTCTGGTTTGCGGCTTCGGACTTGAATTTTGGGATGGCTTGAGGTTTGGTTGTTAGGCTGTATCCAAAGAGACCATGTCTTTCGGTACTCTGTTGAGGAACTCATCCTGGACCCCAGGCAGAAGCATGCAGAAGGCGATAGCAAACGTCACAACTCGAGAACCCGAAAGCCCCCCAAAAGCTCACCCCTGTGGACCCTAAACCCCTAAACCCCTAAACCCTAAACCCGCTGCCACAGCCTTCCGGGTTTAGGATGTAAAAAAGCCTCAAACCGCGAGGCTCCTACACCGCAAGAAATGGGGGTTTCCGAAAATAGGGGGACCCTAATATAGTACCCCAAATAGTAGGTTCCTTATTATAAGGACCCCCAAAATAAGGCACCCCTCATTTAAGGTTTAGGGTTTAATCTTCCGAAACTCCCAAATGCCCCCAGCCCTGCTCAACTCCAGCCAGAGAGGCTGAGTGAGCCTCAGCTGAGCGCACTGCGTAGGCTTTTCGGTGTACAAGAGCTGGTTAAGGTTCAGAATGCAGAAGGTTTAGTGTTTAGGGTTTAGGGTGGTATACCATCAAAGTGAATCTTGATAAATTTCTTATCGAGTATCACTGTTTATATTTGTCATTCGCTGTGGGTACTATCGCGTCTAGTTCAACGTGGAACCTCTTGGACTTCCAGCTGCGATTCTTGTCGTGATGATCTCTTTCTGCATTCCAACGTGAAGCGTCGGCTTGAGAAGACCGGGAAGACGGGCGAGAAAATGGTCCGGTATCTTTAGAAGGGCAAAATTCGATTTCGTGATGATACCACGAGCAGTTTGGCGTCTAGTGCATTCCAACGCCCGCAATGCTTGTCAGTTGGCATGCGTGCATCCCGCTGCCCCAACTTCATTTCCCACTTGGTGCTACTTACCGAAGTCTTGAATCCACAAACACTAAAAGAAACGACAATTCGTTGCGTTTGGCTGAGAGGTGCAGGTGAAGAGAAAGGTTTAGGATGTACAGTGCCATGATTCTTGCTTCTGCTGCGATTGCAGTAGCTTTGCGATGTCTGGGTTTAGGCAACCATCTGCCGAAATTACTCCTCCTAGAGCCAATGAAGAGCTAGAGTTAAGGATCTAGAGATCTTTTCGCGAAAATCATGCAGAGCGGAGGGCTGCAGGTTCAGGGTGCCATAACGACTAAGCCCATAAGACCCATTATTAAAAACTAGTTTCACTACTATACCAAAAGCAAGCCTACCTATAGTCTCCATTGTAGTTCCTTTTTTTGGTTTAACCAATTATATATTTGGGATCCTATAAGCTAACCCCCAAAAGGAAGTACAACGGAGACCATAGGTACATCTGAAACCAGACAGGCAGCTGCTCAAGGATCCTCTCCCCCAGCTGGCTGAGGCCGAAATCCTCGCAGATCGTCAGAACCTGGCGATCAGACGGTTATCCTGATTTTCGACGTCCACATGGGTTTCAACATATTGGCTTGATTTGGGTGTAGGGTCTTTTTTGTACGGATAGAGAGAATTTAGCAGGGCTTAGGGTCGGCAGTTCGGGGTGTGGCATTCAATTTCTCTGGGTTACCCTAAACCCTAAACCCGGGAGTCTGCAGGATTCAGGTGCCGGGGAAGGACTCCCACTGTGATCCACCCAGAACCCTCAAGTCGAAGGCCCTCGGAATACCCGAAAAAGTGACGACCCAAACGCTGAACCCTGCTGTCTTCCATTCTTCAATGACGGCTGGAAGGGGTCCAAGTTGGGATAACGTGGGGCCCCGAATAACTAGCAATACTATTCCTTGTGGTTCCTCACCGTAGGTATACTGCAACAGTTTAGATTCGTCAGGGCCATGTGGAAGTCTTGGAAGTTCAAGGACGATCAGACTCGCAGAAGTAGTAGTCTTCTGGTAAGAACTTCTTAACGAGTTGCAGATTCGTAGTGTAGGGACACCTGACTAAGTAGGATTTTCGAGGTAAGGAACCCTGAACAAAAAAGAGCCGCCATGCAGGGGAGGGCTCATTTTTGTCAGCTTGGAACCTCCCCGCCTTGGCACCCCGCAACCCGAAGCCCTATGCCAAACCACTTTGAAAAGCTAGCTATGAAAGCCTGAAGAATCAGACCAGGGTTCTTAGGGTTTGTTGCTCTACATCTACTCGGGAAGCCTATGCAACAGTAGCACCTATACTACCACTGAGACTTTGGGTCCAGAACCTCTCAACAGAGGAGATGCGCCGAGAAAGGCAGCTTGGCTATTGGGTTCCGGGTTCGGGTCTCTACACCTCGAAGTTTGTATTGAGGCTTGATGACTTCTTTGTTCTTCTGTTCCTGTTCTGTTCATCTGGCGTGGAGTTCCAGTTCCAGAGGACGAGCCTTCCGGGTAACCAACAACAGCAACGTTTACAGCTGCTGCCGTTCCAACTCAACCTGCCGAAGCCTGTGAACACGAGGCGGCGCCTTGCCTCAACGACGTTTCCCGTGGTGAGGTCCTTGGCCAGCCAGTGCATGGCGCGTTCTGTGAGACCAGGCCTGAGCTCAAAGCCGGGATATTTTTCAGGTCGGATTCCGGAGATGGGGATTTATTTCGTTGGGGGATTTGGGGGAGGTGCTTCTGCAGGAATTGTGGAAAATTGCTGGATGTTCCGAGCCAAAACCTGTGCAAGATGTTGACACCCCAGGATCAACAGCAAAGCCCTGCAGAATCCTTGGCGGACATGAACAACACGACACCTTGCACGCTCGACCTACGGCGCTCAAGCCTCAGCCATAAATCCTGAACCTAACATAAGCCAGAAGCCCTCCTACTCCCTCTCAAGCGGTAATCACGATGCGAAGAGGAACAAGACTGCCAGCGATGGACCCTGAAGTGCTTCGACTCATCGAGTTCAGATGCAGCCAACTGAGCGCCCGGTCAGGCGGAAGGTTTGTGCCAAGCGGAGGACATCCTTGTTGATCTCCTGCCATCGGTTAGAAATTCCCCGTGCAGGGTCTATCTTTCTCAGCCGGCAGTGTCCGCCATGCAGTAGATAGTAGGATTTAGGACTCCGGCACAGATGGTAGATGGCAGACTGCCACATCAACCATTGGCTGTGCTTTGACAGGGCTTCTTTCCGTGCGATCAGGGCTTCAATCGCAGGGTTCTCTCGGACATCAGCTTGCAATCGAGTGCTTGAGGCAAGTCTTGTGGCAGCCTCATGGGATGCCAGAATCACCAAGTCCCAACGACGCAGAATGCAAGTGAAAGTATGCTCCATGGCCCCCCGCAAACCCTGAAGCCCCAAAGCGACGCAACATCAAATCCCTAGCGCAAACCAGAAGTGCCAACCCGCGCCTGGGTTCGGGGATTGTAGTCCTCCCACCTGGGCTGTGCAGTCTGTAGACTTCATGTTTGCGTATCATACACCCCTTTTTGTCGGGGGTGTCAGTCTAGGATTTACATTTAGGAGTGTAACTAACATATATATATATATATATATATATTAGCATGTAATCCAAATCAAAGCTACATGTACGCCTGTTTGCTTGACCATGGGCATCCCAGTCATTGTCCATTTTGCACAGGATTTGCGTCTTGATGTACATCCAAAAGAAGTTCGAGCATGGTACATGTCATGCCCACCTTGACCCGGAGCACTTCCCCGCATCGTCTGTCGTAACCCTGAGCGGTGAACCCTTCTAATTCCGCTTTAGGCCGAGCCGTGGGCACAGAGGCATCCGTCTGGTACATATAGTCCAGCATGAACTTCACGGCCTCACTATCAAAGCGCTCACCCAGAGGGCACTACATCTTGCAGACGTCTACCGACAAAACACAAAATGTCTGTAGAGCCAAACCACGAAGCAGTCGGGCCTGAATGCTCAAATACCACCTGAACCAAACCCTGAAATCCCCTACGCCCGAACTCGAAGCCTCAAACCTCTGAAAGCAACCAGACGCCTTCAAGACGCTGCCAAAAAAAACCGCAGAATCTTGGTGGCGCTACACCAAAAAATCTAAACCACCAAGCTCCGCTTGAAGCCAGTGATACTCCCGATCCAGTGCCTCCGGGTTGGAGATCTCGGCCAGCCTGATTTCCTGCCTCACCATCGTAGGTTTAATGCGTGGATTGGGAAAGTCTTGCTTGCGGCTTGCCCAATCACCTCATGGGCTTCGGATGTACGCGCGCAAGGCCAGTCGAGGGTGCGGGCAGGGCTCCTTCCAACGAGTATTCGTAATCGTTCAGATCAGGCACCTTCCATCGATCAACTCCTTGGAGACGCTCGCCAGACCGCTCTTGAAGACCTCTTTGCTTGTTTACCCTAAACCCTAAACGGGTTAGGTTGCCGGAGGGTTTCGGGACAAGCCCAAGATGAGAGGGTGCTATTTCAGGCGCAGTTCTCTCCGGGCTGGGGTTCCTGCAGCAAACCCAACTCCAAAACAGCAGCAACTAGTGTAGGCGGCGTTGTAATATGGCTGCGTCCTGGGCTTAAGTCGGTCTGTGCATCGAAAGTGAACAGAGTGTGATTCTGGAGTCACAAAGCATATTTGCAATGATGACGTTTTTTGCAGAATAGCCTATTGGGATATCCTGCAATAGCTCCCTGGCGACTATAAGACTACATCTTCAGGCATGTCTTTGGCCCTTTAAGTCCCAAATTTGACTGTCGGAAGCGCACGTTGCTTCGGGGTTCAGGGCTTCAGGTGATATAGAAGTCGGAATATTTAGGTTAGGGTTTTGGGGGTTCCTTTAAGAGGCTCCTTAAAGGGTTCTATAAGGGCTTACTAATCAGCAATCGTTCCCATATTTTTTACCAAAAACTAATCTATGACAAGCCGTGTTGAGCTGTTGCCAAGAAGCGAAGACATGCTCCCAGACGCCTAATACATCCAAACCTTCCAAGCGCAAAAATCAAAACCGCGAACCCAGAAAGGCATATTTATGTCCTCTGGCATCACCCCAAACTCTGAATGCACAAAATCCTGCATGACTCTATACGTCTATAAGAGCTCTAAGCTGTAAGAAATGTGGAATATTCCATGTTAAGTTTGTAATACAGGATTTTGTCCCTCGGCGGTACTGGTATGATCCCGAACCGGAGATGAGCCTCGCTTTCTGCTGCCAGGACAATGCGGTGGGCGTAGAAGGTGCGGTCTGCACAGACCTGGCAAAGCTTGAAATTCGAAGTTCCGGTGCACTGAATACTTACAACAGGACTTGATAATATCTTAAACCGTTACAGAGCTAAAAGTGAATAAGGTATAGGTTCAGCACGTGGAGCAAGTTGCCGTTTGAAGACTTTCTACTGCTTTCATGCAAAAAAAGGGCCTTAATAATTAGAGTAGGAATAGGGTTTCGGGGCCCATTATACCCTAACCATACTAAGAAGCCCCAATTTAGTAGAGGTAATTCTTATTTAGGCCCCCAGATTACAGCGACTCAGCGGTCTCCACGAACTCCTAGTGCTCTCAGTTCTCCAGCTGGACGCATGCCGCATGCATTACACGTGCTCCCTTGTCTGTCGCTTGTGTCGCTGAGATCTCGATTCCTCGACCTCCTGTTGGTTTGGAGTTGTTTCTTCCTGGGGCGATTCCAGCTCCGTCCAAATGCACACCAAAAACGCAACACCACAGGAACGTCGCGTGTGTCGGTCGAGAGCGTGCGGGATTTTGAAACTCTCAAATGGCTCGTTCTTCACTTAGCGCGAGTTTCAAAAGCAACACTTCAATCTCAAAGACTTAGAAACAACTCGCACGCGAAACGCGTGCTGGGTTCCGAGGCCCCCAAGTCCAAGCGTAAACTGTAAAGGTCAGATGTTGATGTTACCCGTTTAGCCACTACATCAACCTCAACCACGAAAGCGTTTTTGTCTCCTTTGCGGCTCAGCTCGCCGGATCCGGGCTGTGAACCCGTCACCAAACTCTTGGGTCGGAATTTGGTTCGCGTTCTGGCAGACTGACGGTAAAAGGGCTGCAAGCTTGTGGGTCGAAGAGAAATGGACCTGTAGAGTGGAGGGCAAGTGCGTCGAGCCTAGCTTGTCCGAGCCTATAGCTTACCAAAGGTATATATACCTAAGCCCTGGAATCAATACTCAGGCCCCTGTTCCAGGTAGCCCCAGGCAACGGTATGAAACTCGCTGCTTTGGCTGCACTCGCTGGCTACCCGCGGAAAAACGCCTGTACAGCGCAAGCCTCCAGGCTTGCAGCCTCTAAAGGCCCAGTATGCTCTTCAAATCCACACCGGCGACCGGTGCCAGCCTCTCGGCAAGCACGCGATCGCCGCGACGCCTGCGCTCGTCGGCACTGTGATCCTTGCCGTGCGAAGTTAGCATCCCGTTTCTTGCGGCTTCCAACTCAGGGCCCTGCTGAATCCTACTATGAGAGAGCTATATTACCGTCCCTGAGTTTCTGAACTCCCATATAGGCACCTCAGTAGATGTCTTCCGTCTGGCTGGCGATTCAATTCAAGCTTCTGAGGACCAGGGTGCATTGACGACTGAGACTAGTCCAAACCACGCAAGTCTTGCACCAAAGGACCCCTGTTGCTCTCGGGTCGGCAGGAGACAAGCATGCCACACTATATTCTGTACGGCGGTCGGTGCAGGTTCCTCTACAAGCATTTTCTCTACATCCTATATTCGACTCCTCTTCAGGATGCTTATAAGATGATCCTGATACCCATGGCTCCCAAACCAGCGTCTCGGGGGCAACGCAACCCGGACCCCAATCTGAGCACGGGAGAGCCCCTGCTCCGAACACCCAAAATAAAGCAAATCCTGAAAACGCTCCTCATCTGCAACTTCCTCTGTTCTCAAGCCACATGCACCATAACACCCTGAACAGTCAATGACCACAACAATGCAACGCAAGGAGCCATGCAGACTATTGGAAACCTGCGGCCTCGTCCATCGCCATCCTTGCCATGGCGGCACGGTACAAGTCTTTCCATGCGCCCCAGTCCTTCCGTCACATCGCTCTTGCCAAGGGGCTTGGTCTTGGTTGTGGGTTTGTTCCGTGTCTAATAGCATCCCTCGGCAACTGTTTTTTTATATCTTTATCTGTGTATATACGTACACACGCGCACACATATAATGGCGAAGGCTTTTCCACCCCGCACCGGTCACCGGTCTTAAGGGCAGAAGCTCGAGGCTCCTAAAACTCTGCAGCCGTATTCCCGTTCTCCAAACTCACAGCGCCCTCAAACTCAACAATCTCATTTAGACCGTTGAATGCTCAATGCGACTGTGGCTTTGGAGTTTAGGGTCTGGGCGTGCTGTTCCGCATGACAACTCTTCAAGACATGACTGTGGCTTATCAGGGGCAGCTCTCAGGTGCACAAGTCTCGCCTTGCGTTTCGGGTGGTTGTGGTTCTGTGGCACTTTTTGGCTGGTGTGGCGAGAAGTCACCTGAAAAACACCAACCCAAAACCCACACACAAAAGCACAGAGTCGAGTAGCAGCAGTTGAAGACTTGAACCGTCTATGAAAAAAACGCCTGGATGGATGCACGTTCGGTTCCATGTCCTCAGCCCCAAATACCATGGGCTCGAAGCCAAAGGAGAGGTACCTGGGCTTTCGAACTTCGACTGTTGGGAGCAGGGGCCTGGCTTTGGGGTGACCCGCGCCGTAAGCTCGTCAAGGGTGTAGATGCCTCGTCTCGCCAGGATATTCACTAAAAGTGAACTTCCTTCGAGGTCTCAGCTCCGGGAATAAAGACTCAAACAACCTGGGCCCGAAAGCCTAACATCTGGCACTAAATCGTCAAACCTACCACGGTCGAGCTCAGGTGCAGAGGGATTGCTTGCGGCCGGCCGCTGCCTCAACTGCTTCAGCTGGCTTCGGCTTCGGGGTTTGAGGTGTTCAGGGCTTGCGGCCTGCAACTTCGGCTTCGGAAGAGGCTTCTGCACCTTTGCGGAGTGCAGCCCTGAGCACCTGAACTCTCATTCGTCGCTGTCCGCGGTGGTGAGCCCTAGCGCTTCCGACAGCGCAACACCCAGACTCTCAGAGTAGGAAGTTCGGCGGTTACCAGCTGCTGACACTCTAGGATGATCTGCTTCCGGACATCTGGCCGAGGAGCTCGTTCCGAGGGTAGCGGTAGCGCACTTCCTCGGTTGATTGGCGAGCTTCCAGACTTTGCGTGCAAAATCTACTCCTCGAAGCTTATCCAAGCGGAGAAACGGTTAGCTGTTAGCTAAACATCGGCGCTTGCACTTGGCCTCTCAACATTCTCAATGTGAGGGCCTTCTTAAGCTAATAGGGTAAGCCTGCCAACAACAACACTGTTGATTTTACCTGAAGGTTGGGGATGTAGCATTCGACATCAGCGGTTGAAGCCGTTCCTTGGCCTCGGCATATCAACCTCAATAGTCAAAGCCCTAGGACATAGGTTCTACCCATAGGCCCCATAGTAGTTCCTTTTTGGGGTTCATATTCAGAACCCTATAAGGTAATACCCTAAACCCTAAACCCTAAACCCTTAATCGCCAAAAAGGAACTACTATGGGGCCTTTGGGTAAGCTCTACCAAGCACCCCAGAGGCGCCGAGGTCCTACGCGCCAAACCCCAGGTCCTTGAGCAGATCCCGGCTGAGATGTAGATACCCTAAGCTATAAGGGGCTCAATATGGGGGTACCTTATTTTGGGGTCCTTATAATAAGGATCCTATTATCTAGGGTACTATACTAGGGTCCCCTAATTTTCCGAAACTCCCATATGATGTGATTTAAGGTCTATGTTCCCGAATTAAGGGGTATTGGGCTCTCCCCATAGGCCCCATAGTAGTTCCTTTTTGGGATTACCTTATGGGATTCTAAATACGAACCCCAGACAGGAACTACTACGGGGCCTATGGGTACCCGAAGATGGGTCTTCCAATGACAGCATGGGATCTTCGGCTTTCCGTGGAAGGCCTAAGCCCGAAGCCCTCGATGACATTAAACCCAACACACGCCCGGGCCCTGCACTCCCGAAGTATAGGGTCCATAGTAATGAGAATTTGGTATCGGGGTACAGAATACTCTACGTATATTCCTGGGCCCCCAATATTAACCCCCCTCCGCAATAGATCCTCGAAAAGTGTTATTACTATTAGGGGGAATTTTTGTCTCTAATGCAATTTTTGAGGGGACGTTGCTCTTGCTCCCTCTCTGGCTTTTGCTCCTGCGCCTTTTGCCCCTGCTCCTGCTACTGCTGTTGCTCCGCTTTTGCTCCTGCTCCTGCTCTTGCTGTTGCTCCCGCTCTTGCTTTTGCTTTGCTCTTGCTCTTAAAAGGCAGGGATGATTTAGAGAGGATTGGGCCCAACGTGCTTTTATTATTCGGGGGGTGTTTAATGAACGGGGGAATCGATTGCTAAGGAATCTTAAGGCATAGTATTGGCATTTCTTTAGGCCCCTTTTCCTACATGAAACCAAGACCCAGCTGCAGGCCGGCAGGGCCCAGGCTGCGCAGCACCGCCGCCAGCAGCGACTTGGAGAGGCCCCGTCCTCCAAGGCAGCTTTAGCTGTAGCGGAACAGACCTACCTTTTCAGGGTTCCTGAAAATTCCTGCAAAAGGTAGGTCTGCTGGGCCACAGGTAGGCTTTGGGATCTTAGGGCTTTGTGGCGGAGGCTGTAGTGTGTTAGGGTTTGGTCTTGCATGTTGCGTCGCTTCGGGCCTAGGGCTTCTGGTTTCAAGTTCTTGATACTCGACATGGGGCTCTACAGATTTTCTTGGTTCTGGACGGCTTTGTTCCGTTTTCAAGGACTTTTGTTCTTTGTGTTGAAGCCTCTGTGGACCCCAGACAGGTAACCTGTTGTCCGACAGGATATCAACTAACCTATACCCAGCATCCACATCACTGCTATCTCTGGTATGAATCACGTTAGAACTCAGTTGTGCATGCTGCCTCGGGGCTAAAAAACATCAAATACAGCCCTTGCCGAGCTTTAATGGACAAGGAGTTTCGAGTACAAACCGCAAATTGCACTAAAAAGTCACTAAACAAACCAACAGCTTGGGCCCCTCGAAACCCTTGGCAACGCCCTACATCTATGTCTTTTGGACGACAGCCTTACGTCGAACACTCTCCGAGCCCCAACAAACCTTAAAGCCTATGTCTTCAGAAGCAGCTGTTTGCGGCTCAGTCTAGCTAGCGATGCAGCTTGGTGCTGCGACCGAATCCTTTGCAGGAAGACCCTGAAGCCCCAAACCCCCAGCCCTTTGAAGTTTTCCAAAACAAGTCTGGTAATTAAACAAAAAAACCTTATAAAACCCTATCAACGCCCCGAAGGCTCCTTGAAACTCTGGGTCGATGGCGACCCAGTGGACCAGCCCATCCCGGCCGAGATCTATACGTCGGACCGTCGAGTCCTCCGGAGGCTCAGGGTTGAACATGGCTTCTTTTCAGGGGTACTACAAAGGTTTCCTCTGTGTAGGGTTATATGCTTTTCTCGGGTTTTATGAAAGTCTGCCGTCTTTCTCGTTATCCCGGAGCCCAAAGCACTATTTTGGGTGTCATAGCATGACTTACATCGATATCAATATGCGCATGTACACATGCTCAGAGGCATCTGCAGTGTTGGAATCCCTTTTGGCATTCATAACTGTGTAAATGCATTTACCAGCTGACTGCGCTCTTTGACACTTCGGTGCCGCAACTTCAATTTCACCCTGCCTCAACAGCGAGAACCGAGGCTGCAATTCCAGAGATGGGCCCCCTTAATACAGAGCCCAAACGATAGGGTCCTTGGCCAAGACACCGAAACTAGGAACCCCACCCCGATTAAGCCAAGGGAGCCAACATTCACTTGGACACCCAATGGCGCCCTTTACGAATAATGGGTTGAACCGTTGAGCCCTGCTGATGTACGTCAAGCTTTCGTTTAACAAATACCCGGAGATTAAAACCCAGAAAATACCTTCACCACTATTCCTCAGGGCCCTTTCACCCTCCAAATTTCCAAATTTCAGCCTTCCTGCAATTCTACTGCATGTCGGTCCGGAGATTCCAACAAGGCAGCCCAATAGCTGCTCTTCGTCAGCATGTCGGAGTATGCCTTCGTCCGTGACCCTAAGCTCGAATTTGAAGACTCGCTGAAGATAGGTGCCGTGGATGTACATGGAGAATTCGGACAATAAGAGGCCATGAAAATGGACCCGTCACCCTTACGATATGGACCCTGACATAAGGTGCCCCTGTTTACCAAAACCCTCAAACCCTATAACAACCCAAGAAACCCCATCAAACAATTCTAAACCTCTCAATTCTGCCCCACCTCCTAGACCAAACCCTGAACACTGAACCGTAGCTTCCAAACCGCTACTACAGGGGCCTTAACAATTAGAATAGGGTTTTGGGGTCTATTCTACTATAACTATGGAACTGCTGCGTATACAGAGATGTCCCTGCTGCGTATACAGAGATGTCCCGTGGTACCCGAAGCAGTTCTAGCGCGTGCGAACGCGATGACGGTGGGTATAATAAGGAGCCCCCAAAACCTTATTCTAATGATAAGGCCACTACATTAGGTTTCCAAGAAGGCTCGGCGCTGCATGGTGCTTCGTCTGCCACGCCGTGGCAGTGCCCACGGCTCTTTCCGTGGCATCTTCTACGAGGAAGAACTGATATCCTTGGCGTCCGGCGCAAGCATAGGGGCTAGCTGGGTCGTTTGAGGTCCTTGGCAGCTTCTTGGGTTGTGTCAGGGTTCTGTAAAGGTTTATAGCGATCAAGATCGTGCACGGTTCTTGTAGAGAAGTTTGATTCAAGTCGCCGAAACACGGAAGCAAAGCATCTAATGGGTATCCCCATTGCGTGAGGTGAACACATTCTTTAATCCGAAGCCCCTGGGTCACACATTGGACATTCGTCTTTCTCCTCGAAGCATCTCCCAAATCGGAACGGTCCCAACCTGGTCGCTGACGTTTGAGCCCACATCCGCAACGACACCAGACAAGGTCAGTGGCCTAAACTCGAAAAGCCAAGCCCGCTTGTCCAAACACCAAAAGGCAGGTAACGCTGAAACGCCGCACGAGGGGCGCAGGGCATCTTGCAGGGACATCGGGTCTCCATCCTCTCCTCGAGCAGGCCTTGGGCTAGAAGGGCATCAAATTTAGGAGAAACAGTATTTAGAACAAGCTTTTCGGGTATATTACAGTAGATCCATAGACGGACTCTGACGGGATTTTACTGCTGATTAGTTAGGCCCCCCACACATACGGTGGTGCAAGGCTTGCTGATCTTTGGGGTTTGTATTTGATGCTTTCAATGAGTCTTTTGCGATTTAGGTCTTTCGGCGCAACCTCTCCCTCTCCCTCTCCCCCTCTCCCCCTCTCCCCCTCTCCCCCTCTCCCCCTTGTTCTCTCCCCCTCCCCCCCTCTCCCCCTCTCCCCCTCTCCCCTTCCCTTCCCTTGCCTTGCCTTCCCCTTCCTTCCTCCACTCTTCCGCCCTCTCTGCACCCTGAACCCTTTAAAAACCTGATAGCTGAACATGATGAATGTACGTGGTGTGAAATGTGAAATTTGGGAGATCGGGCTTCGGGGTCCGGGCGTAGTGGGTTTACACATACTTCGATGCTTCTGTTTTGCAAGCACAAGCAACAAACTTAGCAGTTTTGTCAAGGCTGAGGCGTCAAAAAATAAAAAAGCATCAACGAGGTTAAATCCGAGGATAAAAAAACAGAAACATCAAACTATAAAACGCAGAAAATGCAGCCATTCCTTGGACCGCGCACTTCTGCGGGCTTGGGGTTTCGGGGTGTTCTATTTTGCGACGGTTTCCTTGCAATCTGGAGGGATTTCCTGCTATCTCCTGAGGTTTACCTCACGAAAACCAACGTTACCTTGGTTGCGATCGTCGTTGTTGCTGCTGTTGTCCTTGTCGTTGTCGTGGTAGTTGTCGTAGTGCTGTTGTTGTTGTTGTTGTTGTTGTTGTTGTCGTTGTCGTTGTCGTTGTTGTTGTTGTTGTCGTTGTCGTTGTTGTTGTTGTTGTTGTTGGTGGTGGTGGTGGTCTAAGAAAATACTAATAGCACCCCTAGAGCTCGTACTAGTACCTGTAGTACTGGCCCAGAAAAAACATTTTTTCCTGCCTCTCTTCCTGCATTCCCTCCGTCCTTGCTTCCTTCCCTGCTTCCTTCTTTGCAACCTTCTTCTTTCTTTCTTTCCTTTTGTTCTTGCTTCCTTCCTTCTTCCTTCCTTCCTTCCTTCCTTCCTTCCTTCCTTCCTTCCTACCCTGTTTCCTTTGTTTTTGTTGGTTCAATTTGTTTGATGCTTGCTTTATTTATTGGATCCTAACTTTATTGTTTTCATGCTTATTTACTTGTTTTGATCCCTCTCCCTTTTGTCAAGCTCCGAAATTGCGGGTCTTCGAGGCCCCGAAGCCTCATACCCAAATCTACCCGCAAGTCTAGATATTGAAGCCAGGAAGCAAATTTCCCTCGCCGGGAAGGAACTCGTGCTGCCAAGCGCCCTCCTGCTTTTCTAGGCGGTGCAAGGTTGTTGGACGGTCAGCTTCAACGCAAAACCTTAAGCTCTATAAACCCTGAGCTTCAAGCTCAAGCTTTGAACTCAAAACCTCAACCTTCAGCCCCGTACCCAAGCCCTATTCTTCGAAAACGACCTGTGGCTGTTGATGGGGTTGCTTGTTTTTTGCACAGCGCGTCTGTGGCTTCCCAATGGGAACTTGCAGCTCTTACCTAAAGATAACACACGGCCCCGTGTTGCTACGAAACATATATCTTCGGAAACCCAGCCATGTGCTTGAACCGAAACACCAAAGCTTTCACACAACACGCAGGCAACCTAACGTCGTTGAGAGGCTTTAACAATTAGCAATATTATTATTCCGCAGGGTTACCGGACATACATTGGTCATGGTCTTCATCCTCAGCATCTAAGTCTCCCTTACGCGGCCCAGGCATTGAATTTCAATCATCGAGGCTCAGCCCACACAACGTCGAAACCTCGACCCCAAATCCCAGACGCATCACGGCACCCTCGTCCTGGGATCCCTCCAAGCTAATGTCCAAGAAGGGCTCAGCTGCCTTCCTTTCCAGGCGCATGGGAATGACTGTTGAGGTCGGGACAAATTGGCAGCCCCCTGTCTACTCTAGTTTCCGAGGCCGAAGAGGGAGATTTTCCTTCACCCTAATTAGGGTTTAGGGTTTAGGGTTTTAGGGTTTAGGGTTTAGTAAACCCTAAACCCTAAAACCCTAAACCCTGAAGCCTCGTTCAGGAAGCGTCTTCAGGTCTGTTTTCGTCTCGCGGGCTTTGGCTACTGGTCGGGCCGAGTTTGGAGCAACGAGCAGAGTCGAAGGCCGCGTGTCGAACTTAATTTAAGGGGGTCTGGGTAACTAGCTATACAGCTATACATCATCTTAATATAAGGAACTTAATGGTAGTAATTATAAATCAACTTTTGATAAGAACCCCTAAGACCCAGTATCCCCTCTTTGGTACTTCAGCTGGCATCTCGGCCCTCAAACTCTCCAGACCCGTTCCCGAAACGCGGCAAGCTCTATAGCCCTAAAGCTCAAAACACGCAGAGTCCCAAACTGATTTTAGGTGTCCCTCGCTTTGGGACCAAGCGTCTGGATCGCTACCCACGCAGCCGGATCCGGGCCCTGTCGCTGTTTCCGTTTTTTTTTTTGGTGTGGTGCTTGGTGTTTAAGAGTTTAAGGCTGTGAGGGGTTTGCAAAATGTAGCTCGAGGGCTCAAGGGCTTTAGGGCTTCGGGTGGCTTTGGGCGTTAGGCATCCGCCGTAAATCCGCTGCCTGATGGGGATCAGCTGGTGCTGGGTTTGAGGATCAGGGGTGTTCGCCGCCCCACTTTGGATGCTGTGGACGATCTGGGAATTCTCAATCATAGTGACGCACCGAGCATCCCAGAACAAGCCAGGGACGAAGCTTCGATCTCTGCTCGGGATCCCAAAACAGTGTTGAACATTCGGTTTTAAGATTTTCGGTTGAGGAATCGCGGCATCGGCTTCAGTGCGAGCACCTGCATCCAAAGAATGCACACAGCGAAATTGAGATCTTTTTACTTCTAAACAACGGGCGATGACTGAAATAGGATCCAGAACGGCAGCAGGAAAGATCTTTGCCGTGACGCACAGACGGAACATGGGGGACCCCTTAAAACCACTAACACGCGGATAAACAAGTTGCTTTTGACATGCTGAGCTTCTAGATTCTAGTCCCTCTTCGACTGGCCGTGCGACGTCAATAAGGTTTATGGCTTTGGAGTCATGCGCAATCCCGGAGCCTCAAGATTCACAAGCAGTAAGCCGGCAGAAGCTCTTGAGTGAAGCATCGTAGGCTCGATAACTCAAGAACCAGAATACCACGGACCCGCAAAGGAAGCTCACGCAACCGCGCAAACCGGCAAGAAATCTCAACAGAAAGCCCTATGAAATCCAGAGCGTCCAGGCCTGCCGCAGCGAAAAGCCAGGAGGGGGTGGCACGTCTGGGAGGTCATCCAGGTTCGGTCGAAACCTGCTTGAGGCTTCGGGGCCTTGGGTTGCCGTGAAGTTGAAGGCTTCCGGGACCGCAGGCCAAGTCTCTGACAAGAGCACTGCACAGTGAGAAAAAAGGTTGTTTGTAGCGTCTACGCGTCTCGAGCCTCTCGCACATTTATGCTTGCAGCGATTCCTGCCATCGTTAGAGTGATTTCCAGTGTCCTCGCATTCGGTCCTCTTAGAACAGCGGTGGTCCAGGATGAACCAGTGGACGTTTCGTTGCGACCATGTAAACTACTTCATCTCCCCCCAGAATGCTATTCCCACTCAGCGAAGCCCAAAAAATCAAATGCTATTCCCAGGGTCCATCACCGTCGTTTGCCCCAGCTTGTCTTCGGACAGGGTGCGAAAAACATGGCGGGGCCATACTTTCGCATGTTTGCATTGTTGATCATGGCGTCCCCGTTATGATGATATGCGGAGCAAAAACCGCAAAACCTCGATGCTTCTGCCCGCCCGATGTTCTTGATTTTGACAGGGAAGTGCAGCGGCAGGACGGGATGGAGGCTTCAGGCCAGGTGCTGCGCAATGTGTTCTTTCACCCCGGCTTCGAACAATGTTGGAAAAGCATGGCAGGGCCAATACTATCGCATTTCAACACTGCTCAACATGGCGTTACCGTTTATGATGATATGCACAACAAAAATGCAAAACAACAATAACAAAAACGATGTCTCGGCGCAAGAAACATTTGTTGATAAATAGTCTGGGCATGGATGGGCTGGCCAATGGATGGTGAGCGACAAGAAAAGCGGGGCTAACGAGGGTGATGGAGCCTGTTCTCAGAAGCCAATCTTTCTCTCTCGGGTCTTTCCATCGAGAGCTTGGAGTTTGCGGGCTTCTTTGGCCGCTTAGCTTGCAGGCAAGACTTCAACCCTCAAGGAAGCGAAAGCCTCGGCGGCATCTGCTAAGGCCTCAAAGCCATGACTCCAACGCTCAGAAAGAAGACCCAGGATCCCCGATCTGTACCCATGCCATAGGGCTTAGGGCTGATTGAGCTCACGGCCCCTGCGTAGTATTTCAAGGCAGTACTCAGAATCACTGAAGCGAGTGGAAGTGACGGGCTTGTTTTAATTACAAGAGTAATCCCGAAGGCTCCATGACGTGTTCCAAAGCCCTCTTCGTTATGGCCAGGCGACATGTGGATCTCCACGTTCTCCTTTGTCCCGCCGTCGCTGGTGCCAGCATGCGCCATTGCGGCACTAAGGGCGGGAAACCACGTGAGTGGGTGCTAAATAACATAGGGGCCTGATGAACTATCAATGTGATTCCTGAGGGCTCACTCCTTGTTATAGTTCTACCACAATTTCACCCCAAGACTCTCTTCTGAGTATGAGCGCACCTACATTCAGAACACGAATCAGTAGCCTTCGCAACCTCAGTAGCGCCAACTTCTCATGACCTAGATCTGGCAGCGAGAGCGAAACCTTCTTGTCATCACCCCAAATGTCTGAGACTAGATATACCGTGCTAGGTACTACTTCTACTATACGTTAATCTACTCTAACTCGGGTTTCGGTGCTCTAGCTGCTTCAAGGCTTCAAAAGCTGGAGCTGCACGTATCGAGCCGAAGCACAGTTTGTCTTTCAGTGCTTCTCGGATGGGGGACTTAGCCAGCTGCGGAGGATCGAGTGTTTCAGGGATTTAGGGCTTTCAGGGCTTAATTTTGATGGGGTAGGATTGGGTTTTAGGATTTGGTGATAGGGTTTAAGGTTTGAAGTTTACGGTCCAAGGGTGAGATGTTGGGTTCAGGGCGTTGAGGTCTAAGCTGTCAGGCCTCGGGCGTAAGGTTACGGAGGGATTTACGCTTTTCTCCGTCGTCGGATTTCAGAGTCCCAGCGACATTAAACCTTGGAGTCCCTATGTCCCAATCCCGACACCCACTGGACTGAACTCTTGCGAAAGCCCTGCGACACCCTCCAGCTGCAACTCGACACCCTTTGAGCCACTCTTCGGTTTGATCCTGCACCCGAACCCAACCCCATGCCCCAAACCCCAAACCCTGAGCTCTAAACCTACTTGGCCCTAAACCCACAGGCCACAATTCCAAGCGTTGCCAGCAGAGCCAGAGCCACATCGGTGAACTCTCCGCGCCTGAGCTGCCGATTTAGGATTGGTGAAAAGGGCCTTAATAGGTGACTTTACAGGGTTTGATCGGGCTTTTATCAGGTTTTGAGAGGGCAAGATACTGGAATCATGGCCAGTATGACTTAACTGACTGAAGGGATACTATTGCTAAGTATCCCGAGCTTCACAAGACTTCAAAAGTTAGGGTTCAGAAGGTAGCATACCTGGGGAGCAAGAAAGACTGCAATTGCGGGCCCGACTGATAGAGCTTGGGCGCTTTCAGCGTGACCCTTCGGCTTAAACCTGGAAAGCCGAACCCTGGCATCCGAGCTCTTCATTCGCCTGACGGACATCAGCACATGCACGACCGTAAACTCATAGCACCGTGAGAAGCTCCCAACATCCTCGCAAGCCGCTTGAGGCCCAAAGTCTCAAACACCCTCAGGCCGCGAAACCTTTAAGCGCGCAACCAGTCGGAGACCCGTTTAAGCAAGTCAAGCAGCTTGTACAGCTCTCTGAGGCCTGAGAACGGAAGGGACAAACAGCCCTAATTCAAAAAGATCCCCGCAATGTGGGTTCCAGTAAACAAATGACCCTAAATAACTAGGATCCTTCCTCCACAGATTCTACGGATCACTAGCGTATCACTTACTTAACCACCCACACGGCTCTAGCCCCTAACTCAACACCACACCGCAATCAATGCTCTTTGCGCGGCTGCGGTTATGGGATCCGGCCTTAAGATTTCGGGGAACACGCTTGCTTCAACGTCTCTGCGCTCAGGTCTCCGCGTCTGCAGCTCAAGATTGGCAGGCTGAAGTCTTGTTCTAAACCATTGCTTTATCAATCATCCGAAAGTGCAGATCCGCAAGAATGCCGATTGCGCATAGGATTCGAAGCCTCTCAGGCAGAAAGTAGACAACAATGCAAACTATTGAAGCTCGTATGCTCCGTGCAGGGTTAGCTGCTCCCGAAGCCTGTATTCCGACATATGAAGCTGTTGTGAGCTCCTCCAGCTTGTAGGGCAGATTTTGGCTAAGAATCTAAGCGCTTCTATCTCTTCACCGTCTACTGCAAAAAAACCTCGGGGTCTTCTCAAGAGCTACAGAATGCCGAAAACTCACAACGCAAAGAAAAACCCTCAAAGCGTTCCCAAGCCGTCAAAGTGTAAAGCTTACACAACCCCAAGAACCAAACCCTGGCAGGCCCTGAAACTTCCCAAGAAAAACAAGATCCATACTATACAGTATTATACTGGATGGTTCCAGATTACACTAAGTTGTGCTTCGTTGTACTAGATTACGTATGCGATATCATGCTATTTCCTACCATGTTGTCACTATAATGCATGGAGCGAGTAGACTTGTCCGGCCTTCCGCCAGCCTGTCAACCCCGGAGTGCCTTCAGTGGCACCAGGCTGGGTTTCAGTAAGCGAGGGTGCCTCGTTTAGGGTCCTGGCAATAATCACTCGATGACTCAATCTATGGGCCTCTTATGATATGAAACTCCCGTATTTCGGGCGTTTGGATCCAGGGACGAAGATGCAGCGGCCTGGGTCAACGTCTAGCGCGGTTGCGGACTGTACGAGTTTTTTTTTTTTTTCCGTGGCCACCCCTGGATCTGGAAAGGGTTGTGTAAGACATTGGTGGGTGCTGATGCAGTATTCCAACATAAGGGCAACCCTGCACTTCCTACCCGTAACATCTCAAACCTTACGTACCTCAAATATCAACCTTCCAAAGACCCAGTCCAAATATCCCTCAACTTATAGGAAATCGCCCAGAATCCTGGAGCCCCAACACCACAAACACCCCAGTGCGTGGCTTCTGCGCCGGCAGCTTCACCGTGAGAGAAACTGGCCTGGAAGGTGCCGTTGAAGGCTCCACGGCTGCTTATTGCAGAATGATAACCCGGGCCTTCTAATACACCGCAACACTGTAAGAATACCGACTATGTTCATATAAAAGCAAACGTAAATTCCTCATTCAAAACATAGTGGGTTGCAGAAGTAGGTGCTTCGGATCGGCCTTCAGTCAAACAGAACCCTAGGTCCTAGACGTGAACCTCAAGAAAGGGCATTCTCCTGTGGAATACAGTGATCTGAATACGCACGGGATGCCACTCCAATGAAAACCCCAAGGAGCAGCAAACACTTGTAGAGGTATGGGATCTAGTTTTAAGGGCTATCAAAACCTCAACCCTTTAAATCATCGTGGTGCTACGTTGGCACCCGAACCTGCAAGGCCAGTTTCCGCACACGAACTGATATACACCGGTTTCCGAAACGTGAACACAACGAATTTCTAACAAATCCCGACAGCCCCAAAACCCCCACAACTTCAACGTCAAGCAGGCCCCCGGTTGAGATGATCGTGTGCGAATGGAGGCTTCGGCATCTGAGGCCCAGACTTCGTGCCCAAATCTGGCATTCTGTCCAAAGACATCCCCGCACCGAGCTCCGCTGCACTGTCCCCAAAACGTCTTCAATTGAAGCCTCGTCCTAGCCTAGTTATAGTCATTGAACAATTGATGTAGACTGGCTGGACTGCAAGTTGTAGTTTCTGATGAGTTGGTGGACTGTTTTGCAAAAGTCACAGTTGGGCTCGGCACAACTATGTTCCCTTGAGAAGCGCTCGCCGGCATAAAACGATGCACTGCAGAAGAAACTCCAATTTCAGCTTCACGCCAATCCTGAAACTCAATCTAAGCCACATCTCCCGTATCCAGAACTTCAGCTGCAAGGCAGGCCCTTATATTGCATTGACACCGAACTCATGTTGACTGCGGTTCTTGGCAGAATAACCATCAACATAAACATCATCATCTTTACCGTCCAAATTCCCTTATCGTCATCTTCACCATATTCATCTTCATCACTGTCACTACAATCGTCATCATCATCGTTTGTCATCATCACCATAATCATGACCGCCATCATTCATAACTGTAGCCGGGCTTGTCCACAGGCCAATTGGTTCGGATAGATTGGATATTGGCGAGCCTGAACCAGTAAATGCATGCGCTTTAGTTTTGCATCTGGCTGCACGTGTTCGTGCCAGTGCCCGTGCATTGGATGGACTCATGGGTTTGATGATGCGACGATGATGCCTGAAGTCTGGTGACGATGTTGCGGTTTGGGTGAGGATGTGATTCGTTTTGCACTTCGTGGCTTCAAGCGCTGTCGTGGCATGGCTTCATCCATAATCTCCTGTGTGCAGCGTACAGCTCCTGATGAGGCCTCCGTCCGGACACGAAAAGCATGCGTTCCACCGTTCCACTTGTACTAGTGAAAGTCGACTGCTGCTTGCAAGTGAGGAGAGTCTTGGTAATTGCCATGAAATGCGAAGGTCTCCGTCCGAAGGTAGACTGAGCTGAAACCCAAACCGCAAACTCGAGATCCACAGCAACTGAGAAGCTTGCCTCACAGAAACCCGGACAACTTGTGCCGCAGGTGCACCTTCCGAGCTGTTGCCACATGAGAAGGCTTTCGGGATTTGTAAGGTTTTCGTGATCCACTGGCTTAGGGGTTAGGCCTCCAAGGCTTTCCGCACCTTCGGGTGATAGATGTGATGGGACTTGGGATTTGAGATTGGTGGGCTTGAACCGGGAATCGAAACGATTGCATCTCCAGACCTCAGCTCCGATTTCCATGGATGAATGGTCTCATGCATTCTCTGGAGGAGGCAGCAGCTGAGAAGCGATCGTCTGCAAGGTCGCACATAGACTCACATTACGCTCTCCCGTCTGCCTCGTTCACGGCCACGACGATTGCGTTGGAGTCATCCTGCAAAAGAGGGTTCAGGCCGTTGTATCCCCACTAAAACGCATGGACTTGCTAGTGAACCCTTCAGCCCTTCCGCTCAACCCCCTCCCCAGCTCATGTACCTTATGGCAACGGACAGGACACCAATAAGAAAAGATCCCTTGAGACTACTGCTGCTCTCGGTCAGACTGCCATGTGACGTTGGTGGCGTGAGGTTCCGCCCTCTCAACACAAATAGCATGTGCAGCAATCAACTAGATACTGCCTACCTGGAGGGAAACCCCCACAATGCAACCTTTGAAGCCCATGAACCTGAAGCCCTAAACCCTACATGCAGGGCAGCGCAGTAATCCCTTAAAGCCCCATGAACCCTTTGTAAAGCCTTAAAACCCTTTTTTGCCCATGGACCCTTGATCAGGCTTATAAACCATTTTATTGTAGTAATCCTTTAAAACCCCATGAACCTGTAATCATGACATGCGTCATGAACCCTAAATATAGATCTAAAAGCCCCTGACGCCTCATCCCAGCAGCGCGTGCAGGTGCGCACCTGAAGCACAACGAAGTTCTCCGTATGCGATACGAGACTCATGGATACGGTAAACTAGAACAGAAAGCCCCAAACTCTGCATTTTAGAAAGGACTTCCAAGGCTTCAAGCGCCGAACACAAGAGCCCCACCACCGTGAACCCTGCCCTAAACCCAAAGCGCAACAACGCCAAACCGAAACAATCGCAAACCCAGTCGTCCGATCCTTTGTTACGGATTACAGCTAGCCCCCGATACTCCTTTCGTCAAAACTGAATTTCTTTCGTCATATTTCAGTTTGTGTATTCATTTCGTTCTTTGTTTTTGTTCCTCTCTCTCTCTCTCTCCCTTTCCCCGTCAGTCAACAGCGTCTGAGGTGAATTTATGAACTGGGCTGTTCAGGAGTTCTATAGGCCTGAAACGCAGGGTTTCGGGGAACTTGCCGGCCTCGGGGCGCCCTCTGGCGGCCTCGCCCCACCGGCCAGGGGACTCTTCCCGGCTGCGTCGGCTGCACATGTACCGCCGGTGGTCCTGCGGGAGTGCGGGAGGAGCCCACGGCTGTGGGGCAACACACGGAGGGGCGCCTCCACCGTGTGGTGGTGGGAAAGCCTCAACGAGCGGAGCACCTTCAGCAGGCACGTCTCACTTCACAAAGTATACCGAACCCCCGAGCCCTCAACCTGAACTCCGAAAACCCGCAAACCCTTCGAGCCCAGGAGATGTCGGAAGGATTTTGTGGGCTTTTGAAAGGTTTGGGGTGCTCGAGTCCAGAGCTTAAGGATTCCATGGGACTATGTGCAGAAGCATTTCGTACATGACTCCTTTGAGCCTGAGCCAGAGGGTAAACCAAAATCTCTATTTTTTTGAAGCAGTTCAGTGGAGTGGTTCCGGAGTTTGGGAGGGCTCTTAGGGCAAGGATGCGCACTAGCAATATGGGGTCATTCGGCTTAATAGTTCGAAGAGAGTTTTGGCGTAGTCTATCGTATAAGTCATGTCGGAACTGTCACGGAATCCTGTGACCACTACGTCACAGGGGCTGGTCCAAGCCACCCTCAGTCGTCTCATTAGCCCTGGCCTTTTGTTGTGGGCTCGTGTAAGGATCATAATGCCCAAAGAAGGCCAATGAACTCCAAAGAAGGTATCGTGTGCAGTGCTGCATCCAAGTAGCAGTCATGGCCTTGTCTCTCTCCAACTTAATTTGACTGCACTCCTCGCCAGAAAGCCACAAATGTCATGCGCACCACTGCCCCTGAAACCCAACAGCATGCATGGTTTGGGTGTTTCTAGAGGATTTTGGCTAGCTTTTGGGGCTTCCAGGGTTCGGGATAGTCAGGTTCAGTTTGTGTTTCTGTGTGCATGGCATCGAGGGGCGTGGACGTCTAGAGTCTGGTCGGGTGGGGGTGGGGGTGGAAAAAGCCGAACAAAGTCAACGACTGTCTCGAAATTTTCGTGGTGCCTGCATGGCATAAACCAGCGCACAAGGAACGGCAACTGCGGATCTGCTGCATCATGGTAGGATCAAGCCTTGTGCTCCTACTAGTGTTTCTACCTAGCCTCCCTACGACCTCTCTGCACTCAAAGCGACCAAAATGCTGACACCGGGGGTTGCCCCAGTTCTGGCCCGGATTCCTAAGACGACATTCTTAACACCGGGTTTGCCCCAAAGGAACCAAGATATTGACACGTGCCGGCAGTTGCCCCAGCTCTGGCCCCGGATGTCTAACGCTTATGTTTCGCATAATAGGAATTATTCAAACTTTATATGTATAGGCTTGCAACACTGAGCATGCTTAGAAAACCCACGAGCCAACATTGAGCACAACGAAACCAATTCGGACTCGGGCCTGCCAGCTAGCCTCATTCGTAAGCTGGTTCCAGACGTAGGATCGCGCCTGGCTTCCGCAAACTAATGTCAATCCTTTTCTTCGAGTTTCGCTTGTCCTATCGGAACTCGCCAAGGTGTTTGGTGTTGAATTGACGAGCGCAACTCCTCAACTTGAGGGTCCTCCATGCATGTTGGCATGGAAAGGTTGGCTACATCGTTACCTGCTCTTCTTGCTTGGGGTTTCGAGTCTTTTGCTGCAAAGCTTGTGACAGGGAAAGGGTTTCAGTATGATCCGATGTTAGGGACATCGGCTCTAAACTGTGGATCATTTCTCCAAGCTTTAGTGTTCGAGGTGCTTTGATCGTTTTGGATCAATGCCGGGACCGGGGCTTCGCGAGCTTGTCAAGGCTCCGCGCCTCGAAGCCGCAATGACGAGTGCAGATTCCGGCTTGAAACCCTGGATTCCAAACTGCTGTCATCACCGGACTTTACTAGTTTACCTTTGGGTTTTGTACAGGATGTTGGGCGTTGGTCGTCGCTTCTGGCTTTAGGGATGTGGGTGCTACATTATATGTAATACACACCCACCGGACCTTGCACCGAAGCCACACGTGCCACTCACCAACACTGTAACGCCTCTACTCAAACCGATTCTCAAGGGCCTCAACTTCCGAAGTCTCAGCAAAGCTTGGCCGGGCAGACACCGTGGCGCACATGCACCTCGCATTTCATGCGTGCCAGGCATGGGACCCAAGGAAAGGTATAGGTCCTCATCAGGACTGCAGGACCACAGGTCTACAGGGCATCAAGACTTGCAGGGCCACGGGGTTTGTGCACCACAGGACTGGTGCCGTTTCTCTGGTCTTGATGTCTAAATAAACAGTTTTGGTTGCCTACGAAACAGTACAATGTTGACGACGAAAAGATTTTGGAACCTTGAAGAGCTGTTTCGCAGGTCATGACCCAACCGTCCCGCAGGGGGCATGTGTTACTCATGTCACACATAATGTTCATCACCAATCATCTTGACACCATTGCAGCGTGCTAAGCTGACAACCGATAAAACAAGGCTACGCTGACCCGCGCCTCCCAGCTCACGTCATTCGTGAGCTGGTTCCAGAAGTAGGACCGCACCTGGCTTCGGCCGTCTTGGAAAGACCTTCCGAGCTGTTGCCACGTGATGCGCTCGAGGCTCGAAGGTTTGTAGGATTTGGGATTCACTGGTCCAAAGTCCACAACCAACAAGATGCTGGCCTGCGCCACGGCATCACCTGAGGTCACTCAGCTCAATCTTGGCGCTGCTGTTCATGGTTTCAGGTGGAGGTTCGATGAGGTTCGGGATTAGGGTGTATGACATGCGATTCTTTGTTACATGACCAAAACCAACATCATCGTTTCCTCACCATCACCATAAACATCACGACCATCATCATCAATAATCACCATCATCATCATCATCGTTGTCATCGTTGTGATCGTCGTCATCATTACAGTGTAACACCATCCCCATGGTCTGTCATCGTCACCATGATCATCGGCGTCGTTGTCGCCATCCAAAGTTGCAGCCTGGTTTGTCGACATGATCCGTTTTGCACTTCGTTGCTTCAATCGCTGGCAGGGCAGGGCAGGGCAGGGCAGGGCAGGGCAGGGCAGGCGGTGCGGCAAGGCAGGCGGCAGGGCAGGGCAGGCGGCAGGACGTCTGAATTTGGCACCTTCCAGGGCTGCGTGCCTGGTCATGAATTGTCGCTACATCAGGGGGAATCTTCAGAGTTAGGTTTTGGTGCGCTTGTCTGCAGGTCTGCGAGGTGGCCCCCGGCACCTTTGCAGAGCGTGGTGAAGATTTCGCAGAGTTGTGTGAAGGTCATGTCTTCCCGGCTGGAGGCAGGAATGCTTGTCGTGATAGCAGCAGCATAAAAACCAGAGCAAGCCGCGACGAACATGTGGAGATGAGGCACACGCAAATCCCTGTGGTGCAGCAGGAGTAACCATTTATAGCAAGCACTAGTCAGTACGTCAGTACGTGGTAGCAATGACCCCGCAGCAGCGGAGTTCGCAGCAACAGCAGCGGTGAACTCTGAGCTCACCGCGATGGAAGCGCTGCGTCGCGGGCGCAGCCTTTGCCGTGCCTGACAAGCTTCGATCTTGCGCTTCCCGAAAATTCTGAACTCCACCTGCCCCCGCTCCAAGCCTACATGTCGCCTAGACCTCCCTAGATCTTGTCATCAGTCTGGAGGCCTCCACTGCCAGTCACAGGACTTAGGGTTTAGGGTTTATAGGGCTTAGGGGTTTAGGGTTTAGGTCTCGGGCGATTTGATCGCAACCCCCATGCGGCCCCCTCAAATCAGCCGTCGTTCACACCTGGACTGTGAAGGCAGAGACTAGACCGCAACTTCTACAGGCCAAAACAAAGGTTCGGTTGCAATCCAACGAGGGTCGCCGTCAAGACTATGCAGCAGCCGCATTGTGCGAAGCACTGAGCCCTGTAGAATCCAGACTCGAAGACTCAAGCAGAAGTTATTCGTCTGCACCTTCTCTTGGCTTGTATCCCGTTGTGAGAGCTTACCATCCACTATAATAGCCAAACAAGAAGCCTTAAGGGATAAACGTTAAAACTGCAACCTTACAATCTGAAACCCAACCTGGAAGCCAAGGGCGCGGAGTTCGGCGTCCACGTGTGCCTCGCAGGCGCCAGGTTTGACGGGCCGTATGCAGAACAATGCTTTCGCCCGACATCTCAACAGCTGAGTCTTGGAGGATTCAGCATTACAAGCGTGAGCATCCACGACGCATTCAAGTACCAGGAATCGGGAGCTTAGGGCATCGGCTGCAGAATTGCTTCAGCATGAAGGCGGTGTAGGGATGAGATCTGACATCTGAACTGGTTGGGCGGCCGCGTGCTGCATGACGAAAACAAACAAATCTTATTGACAGAATGCATCTCCCGGTTACGCTGCCTCTAGACTTGGAACCCATTGAGCCTCTTCAAGATGAGCCCTCTAGATCGTAAAAGCCCTAAGACTTGAATCCCGTATTCCGAACTTTTCAAGCCTTCAAGGTCCATCAATCAAGCCATCTATCATGGACTCCCAAGAGTTAACTCGTCTGCCCGAAGCCATCAATTTTAGCCGCGTTTGAGGTTCATTACGGGGTCGACAGTTACCAACCGAAACTGTAACATCTGCCAACAATTACCTGGGAAACCAGAAGGCCCAAGATCTGGGAATTGCAATTTATTGAGAAAGGGATCTATATGTAGTAAATGCGGAATCTAGGATCTCGGAACTCATCGAAGAATTCGACGCTTCTTTAATAATGGGTTTAAGATAGAGAACGGAATACCCTATATGATGGCCCCTTTACATACCCTATCGAATACCTTCTACAACCCCTTGTTTCTTGTATAGAATGAAATAAGAACGGAATAAAAGAGCAGAATACGAATGACAACGGACTGCGTGATTTTGGCTCGTACATTCAATAACTTGAGCAAATTAGGAACGAAACACACAATCGAGAGGTGAACGGCCAATTAAGCAAGAGAGACCAACAACGAAATGGCAGTCAACTACACCTTCATTCGCTTCCAGTTCTTGAAAGTAATATGATTGGTGAAGACATTACACCAAGAAGATTACTCTTCTGGAGAGCCCCACAGCCTCCGCTTCTGTAAGCTTATTTCCAACACATGTAATCTCTCAGAAATGTTTTCAGGATTTAATCTTCGTTCATCTATTTCTCATTTCTCTGTCTCCAAGTCTTCTGAGGGTTGTAATGACGAAAGGAACGGAGGCGAGATCGTTA